CACTGTGACAATCATAAAATAGGACTGCTGAGGGGTGAAAAGTTTGAATTTCATATTGATCTAAATTTCTATGTGGCTCTGAACTGTCCCTTAAAGTCCTGTGCATTAAAACCAAGATCCCAAGACATTTCAAGCCAAAAACTTTTAAAACTCTATTCTGTTGAAATATTTTTGTTGTGGCTTGCATTAGTCTGTACAAGATCAAAGCACAGGTTTATTGTTTCTTTGATCCCTTGTTGTTTCCCTACGCATAAATCTTAAGAGCTATATCCTATGGCCAAAACCTAATCATGATCACCATAGTAATAATTGGACCACTGAGTTTGGGTTGATTAAGATTTTTTTGGTGTTAATTTTCAGGTAAAAATGAAAACTTCCAACATTTTCCTAGAACTGAATAAAAACTAGTAGGTCTGTTTTCTAGCCATGAAAGACAACATTGAAATATTACTCTGCGGAACTCAGTTTATTTCAGGACTATCCAGTTTTGTTTCTTTTCCCAAACAACTCTGGGAGACTCTATTTATATCTGTTTGGAAACAGCTTTTCTATCTCCAGCTGCAAGGCTGCCTTCTGTATTCCAAAGGATATTAAACCACAATGTCACTTTTACTTGTTTTATTTTTTTCCGGGAGGAAAAAGACTAAAACTGACAGCCATGTGCTAGCTTGTAGCTGCTTCCTGAATCGCTTTGTTGCTAAGATAACCAATTAAGCACCAGAGCTCAGCTGAGGATGGGAAGAAAGGCTGATTGTATTGGCACAGTTCTCAGAAGGACAGACTGAGCTGCTTTTGGTGGCAACTTGCACCTTGGGAATTACAGTGAGTCTCTATCTGCTGTGTTTAGTACTAAACTTTTTGAAACCTCTCACAGGCACTGACAGATGCTGACATTTTGCAGGAATTGCTTTGATTTCCAATCTTGTACAGAGGTTCTATAAGGGCTTCAGAAAAAAATATAAAAATGCTCACACCTGAATGTGGTCCAGACTCATAAAGTTTAAGGTGTCCTTTTTCCCGTTTTTTGTTTGGAAGCAACAAATTTAATTTCATTCGCTTCTAACACGACATTGTTTAAAATATCAAGGTGAAACCAGTCTCTTCTTGTTCATGCAGTCTGTGACCAAAGTCCACAAAGTGTTTTTTTCCCAAAGGAATAAAATGTCATTTTTGGTGATTATGATTTATGAACATTACAACCAACGTAGGCATTTACAGCATTCACTATATACCAAATTTGTGTATACAAATACTAAGACAGCACTACTTTGCTAAGTACAGATGTTCTATATTATGAATCAAAAATCAAAACTTTTTTGTAAAGTGCTTTACCTGTAAAGCGCTTTGAGTGGAGTGTCCAGAAAAGCGCTATATAAGTGTAAGCAATTATTATTATTATAACTCACAACTGTTTTTGCTGAATTTCTATTTACATAACAGTAACACTTCTGTAGGGATACTTCTCATTACAAAAATAAGACAATGAGCAAATTCCAGTTAGTATAACCTTTGATTGCACTGCCATGCAAAATAAGGAAAATAAATTAATTTGAAAAAAAAAAACAATTAAAATGGCATCCACATTCCCTGAATACTGTCACATTTGCAGGCAGTGAGGAATTTTCAGTTTGCAGATTGATTGGTTTTACCCTGAATATTCAGAATTGTGTGGTTTCATAAAACAGCTAAGTATTTTGTATTAGGGATACAGTATAACTTCCAATTAAGTCTAGTCATTAGAGATTATAATATTAAAAGGCCAAATCATTAAGTAAATATCACCTGGTTGCTATTGGCATGATGGAATGTAAAGGAACAAGGAACAGGTTTATTCCATGCTGAAATATGAAGAAAGAAAACACAACGTTTCAGCCGTGGAGCCTTCTTCAGGAAGGAGGATGGAATGTAGCCTGTCTATAAGAAAGGGTTCTGGAAAATGAGAAGTTCTGCTTCAACAAGTATTGAACTTGTCCAGAAAACTCCTCCCATCTGTCTGATCCATCTGTGTAATAATGTTCTGTCTGCAGTAGCTACAGCATGACTTTCTAGAAATAAATAGAATTTCACTGAAGCTAAGCAGGTGTGAGCCTGGTCAGTACCTGGATTGGAGACCTCCTGGGAAAAACTAAGGTTGCTGCTGGAAGAGGTGTTAGTGGGGCCAGCAGGGGGCGCTCACCCTGTGGTCCACGTGGGTCCTAATGCCCCATTATAGTGATGGGGACACTATACCGTAAACAGGTGCCGTCCTTCGGATGAGACATAAAACAGAGGTCCTGAATCTCTGTGGTCATTAAAAATCCCAGGGCGTTTCTCGAAAAGAGTAGGGGTGTAACCCCGGCGTCCTGGCCAAATTTCCCATGGGCCCTAACCAATCATGGCCTCCCCATAGATAGATAGCCATCTATGAATTGGCTACATTACTCTGCTCTCCTCCCCACTGATAGCTGATGTGTGGTGTGTGGTTCTGGCGCACTATGGCTGCCGTCGCATCATCCAGGTGGATGCTGCACATTGGTGGTCGTGGAGGGGAGACCCCATTACCTGTAAAGCGCTTTGAGTGGAGTGTCCAGAGAAGCGCTATATAAGTGTAAGCAATTATTATTATTATTATTATAAATAACCAGTGCATCAGCAGCATGCAACTAACAGTCTGCATGAAAATGTTAAAAAGCCATTGAGGGGTATCATTTGGACAACTGAGCGATGAAACAACTGTCTTCTGTGGGCCGAAAGCAGTGGCAGAGAGAGCAGTGGAGTGTTTTATTTACTGATGCCATTTTGCCCTTGAAAGACCTAACAAAAGATGCCGTGTGGAGACATTGTGGAGAGTCTGATGCATAGCTGCATTGTCCGAGTCAATCTGGGCACTGGAAGTGTGAGGATGAGGGGAGGGATCTCATTTCAATAGCTCGGTCAAATTCTAATTAACACGAAGAAGAGGCGTTATTTGAATAGTGAGTTTAATTGGGAGGAACTTGCCTAGATGAGGAGAAACTATAATCCGTCCCTTGAGGATGGGGCAGTTGGACCCCCCCCACTTAAATGAACGATGATTCAGAGTGCTGCTGCGAGGGGATGATGGTGTGGACGGGGGAAGGCAAGAGGGGTGATAGCTTTACCTACGTAGGAGGAAGTGGGCGAGATTAAATTTTGACCTTGAACCGAACTTTTGCTAAAAGCTCCATTTAGCACAAGAATCCTTTTGGTCCAGATTAAGGGTACCCTTACCGCTCAGCGATACATTAACAAAGTGCTTGTGCTAACATGTTTGTGTATGAGCTTTTCCAGGATTATTAATGCTTAACAGAGGTTATTCTGACAGTGCATCATGCCTCAGACATTAAAAATACGTTGATGTCTATTTTTTTCAAATTGTGTTTGATAGGTACGTCTAAGATACTGTTCTGTTCAGCATAAATTCCACAACGTCATATTGCTAATTTCAGTAATCATTTTTCCCCCCAAGGGTCCAAGGACACATTAGGTTTTAGACTTGTATTCACTTTGACAAGGGTGATATTGTACAAATATTTTTTATTAGTAGTTTTTATTATTTGTCATTAATAATTATTTTAAAATTATTATTATTATGACAATTATGTTCACATATTTCTGCTAGAAGACTTTTTAATTAATCAACAGTCTCATGAAAAAACGTTGTGCCACATGTTCAAAACATTTAAACAGAAATCCCATTGCTTTCTATATGTGTTATAAGAACCTAAGTGTATTGAATATTTGTAGGACCTAACCTTTATAATGTATCATGCTTAGCAAGAAAAGGGTTCAATTTTTATAGACTTGTGCTTCAGAATAAATACATTATATAAAATGTAGGAAATATTCCCAATCTTTGAACAGTTTCGAGTTGCTGTGATGAGGCTATGATCCGTTTATCAATTCAATGGAGAGATCAAAAGTCAACACTTCAAAGAGCTACTGCCAAGGCATTTGTATAATTAATTCTGCTACAATTTAGACCTGTCAGGGGATGGAAACTCCTCTTTTTGAAGAACCTGTGGGTTCTCTTATTTAAGCATTCACAGCTGGCAGAATCTCTCGAATTCTAATCAATAGCTAGAGATGGTAATGTTCTACCATTATTTTTAATTAGGGTTTAAGGCTATAATTATAAATCCTTTTCACCATACTTTTTAAGCTCAAATACTTCCTCTCTGGAGCGACAGTCTTTGCCTTTTGCATCATATGACTAGAAATGAGGCGGAAAAATATTGATATTAAAGTGCATTCTCACACCTAAGAGTAATGACTTTACATATGTGTAAAGGAAATTGTGAAATTGAGGTTCGCATTTCCCTTATAATTAGACTGGTCTACAAGATGTTGTTTTACTCTTTTCTTTACCTGATCCATGTTTTAATAATAAAAGCAATTTAGATTAAGTGCTTAAGTGCTTCAGATATTGTTGCATTTGTTGTTGTTTATCACATTGTCAATAACAGATGTACTAGACATGTGAGAATCAGATGCTTGGAAGTTTGTTTGAGACTGCAGTTCAAATCCAGTATCAGATCACTTGTATCACATGTGCTGCACTACCAGCCTTGACTACATAATACCTATTTAAAAAAAAACCCTGACACCCCCCCCACCCCACAAAAAAAGAAAAAAAGACCATAAGTAGTGTGGCATATATTTTGAAGTGTGTAGAATGCTATATGTGCATAAATATTCGATTTGTGACTGTCGCAAACCAAGAGAATCTCTGGTGAAGGGGTATATTAGTCTGTCAACACAACAGTTTTTTAAAGCCTAAAAAATGATCAATAACAAGTCAAGAATGAAGCAGATCATCATCTTCTTGAATTCCTAAGTATGGTTACTGAGGAACACTAAAGGATGCGTGTTTAACACTCTCAGTTAGATTAGTGGAGCCCTGTTGTGATGGGAATCCTCAAACAGCTTTTATGTTGGTCAGACAGCTTTGTTTATATTCAAACCACTACCAACCTCATCACATTAAATAAATATAAACTTACCTGTTTTTCCAAACATCCATCTTCCCCAGCAACCCCTCCAAAGAAAATATAATTACAGTATATCTGTTACAATACTGTTAAGTTGATGTTATTTGCGAATCTTTGCCCTAAACTAACTCAATTGCATTATATTACAAACAGCACCAGAACGAAGGCCTCTCAGTGGTTAAGGACAGTTATTGCTGGTAAACACTGTCATCTTAATCTGCAAGAACTCCATCTAGTGGTATGGAGGACAGCTAACCTCCTTTTCCTTTTCAAAAGCTGGAAGAAGCTGTTAAACTGATCCAATTAAGTCAGTATTGATGATACCCTGGCCTTCCGGGATCAGGACTAGAGATCCCTGCTGCATTGTAAGAGTGTCTGCTCCAGGACCTGTACAGTGTAGGTCTCGAGTGTCTGTACATTGTCACTCCAGCTCAGCTTCTAATGACCTAAAGCAGCCCGTTTGTGATTTATTTGAACCAATTTAACAACATTTGTCAGATTTTCAGGTACTTCTGCTTTAAAGAAACATAGAAAACCTGCAGACACATCCGCCCTCCAGGAACAGGATTAGACAGCTTGATCATTTCATTCACATACTCAACTCTGGGTTTATAACACATATGGGTTAATGGGAATGAGTGTAAACATATTAGTGGTTCAATTATTGTGGTTTGCTTTTATTTGATACATAGAAATATTGTGAGTTAAAGTGAATAGATAACCTGTAAACAAATGAAGAGTGGGAGAGGGATGAAGTTCATCATGTACACATTTAACTCTGTCCTGAGAAGGTAGTTCCTTTCAGAGGGATTAGAAATAGATTATTTTTGTTTTCTTGACATTGGAGCTTTCAGCACTTGGTCATCACTGTATATACAGTATATTTGCACAAGCACTGTGAAATCTGGACTAGACCTATTTGGCAGATGTTAAATAAACACCTTGGATTGTTGGAAAACTGCAGTGTTGTCACCTTCTTCTTACCTGGCACCCATTGACAGCAAGTAGTTTATATCAATTTCTGAATCATTCATTTAATATTTGTCTTCATCTTACCTTTTTGAAAAAGAGCTTTGAAAAACAGTCTTATGAACCACACTGACAACTTTAAATAGGGGTACAGAACAAGACCTTAAAAAGAGAGAGAGATTAAAAAAAGCTATTTTGTTTCTCTTATCTTGTCAATTTGGAGGATGTCAATTGGTATAATTTTCTTTTTCCATTTTAATCAATCCTAGAGATTCTGTCAGTTTTTTCAATGATTTGCCTGAATGTCATCAAAATGTAAATTTAACATAAAAAACAGACATATTTTTCACATAATAGTCTTCAATATATTGTAGATGCTGAAGATGCATAACATGTATTGTGCTTTAACAGAGAACCTGGCAACACTGAAGAAATCAATTAGCTGTCTCCATTACTCTTTCACTTGCAAACAGCCCGTTTCACCTTTGTGCTGCTGGCAAAATGCCTAACATATTTAGTCAAACGTGATTTGACTTCTTCTAGTGACTCATGTCTCAGACATACTCACTCAGAGATCAAGTCATGATATGTATTGTAATGAACTGTTTGAATGTATAGTCCATTTCCATGAACTGGAAGGAGAGAACTGTTCATTTAGATCCCTAAGTACAGATGCTTGTTTCCAGATAGGCATTTACCGTGACTTTTTTAAGTTTCTTAAGGTTTCTTAGAGTTGACCAGGCAGCATGTCCATTACAATAATTTGGCATTCTACTCCCCACTCCCTAGTGTCCATGAGCAGAGAAATGTACACACTATAAGAAATCTTGACAATCAAATGTACCTTATGCATATAAATAAATGTACATTGTCTTTAACATTTTCTTGGCCTTTCATTTGCATTGGCCTTTTTTAAATCAGAAGGCATTCAAACTCAGTAGCTCAGGATTTGTGTTTCAAAAATTGAAATAATACAGGTATGTTTTTCCTGTTGTCTGCATTGTATAAATTAGAGTACAAAAAGATGAGTTCTGAAAAATTCACTTTAACATTAAAGTAGCATTACCAGACATTGATGACATAAGATGTACAAGTTTAATAAAGGGCAGCAAAATGCTACACAAACTGAAATGTGACAAACAGGGGGACAACGACAAACAGAGGAGAGGTGGTAATTGAAATCTTGGTTCTGGCAGAAGATGTCAAAGAGCAAACATACAACTGAAATCACAGCTGAATGAGCACATTTATACACCTCAGTGGTATTGCTGCCTTTACATATCAGATATTCAGTGTGATATAAGTCACGGATGACAAGGCAAAATACATGATTTTGACTCCATGTAATAAAAAGAATAATTTAAAATTTGAACACAGCATTTTGCCCACTCAACATAGTGTCATATACTGTAAATTAAAACTCAACACCTGTAAGACAATATATTTTAACCTAAATCTAGGGCACATTTGTCTTATACAGATTGGACCCACATCTGTATAATAAAGACAATATTGATGTCAGATAAATGTAAACAATTAAAAATGAACTTATATTCATATATAAGACTATATTAATATAGCATGAAGAGAAGAACATTTTAACAATGTATAGAAAAATTAACCACGTGTCTGAAGCAAAAGTAGACTGCAATTTACTTGTTACTGCAATTTGAGACACTGGACTGAAAAAAATATTTATAAAGTCTTCTCTTCTTTAGTTTTTCTTTCCCAGAAAATAAGGTCTGGAAGCAGTGTAGAATGATGGTTGATGGTCAGTAGACAAAACCAGGGGATTTCTGGGTGGGATGCAGCTACTTTACCCTTTAGCAACCTATTCACTTATTATTTTTTAGTGAATGCAAAGTTCCTGAGCCAAGTGATAGCTTAGGGTCCAGCTGTGTGGAGGGTGTGTAGTAGTCCACCGACTCTGTGGAGTGGGTAGTGCTCTAGGATGTGCTGCATAGTTTGCTCCATCCCACAGAGACAAAGAGGGCTGCACAGTTTCCTCATCTATAGAGCCAGGCAGGACATGGACCATGACCAGTTCTAAAGCAGTTTAGAGTGGACCACTCTTCTTGGAAGGTGAAAGCCGGGAGGATGTTGGGTAGGGTATGTGATGAGGTGCTTTTTTGTGAAGTCCAGTGAATCCCTTTCTTAAACCCAGGTGGAGTCTGCATTGAACACTTGTTGGGGAGGATTGTTCCAGAAATTATATATTATAATACATATTAATACATATTAAATATGTCCTCATGTAATGGCAGGTGAGGAGCATTTTAGACTTTGTGAGCATTTTGTTGGTTATCGGATGTGTGGAGGAGTGATGTTTGCTAGGACACGGAGCCAGAAGAGTGGAATGGAGAACAGGGTTCCATAGATGATACAGTTGGTGGCATTCAGCTGGGTGTCTACTCTGGGAGTATGTGATTGTTACGCATTCCACTCGCCCCTCACTCCCTTCTTGCATTCCCACGCGCACACCCTGTAAAACAAGCTCACGCCGCAAGTAAACACCAATCACCTTTCTCTCCCGTCTCTATTTTAGTTCCCCTTTTTCCTCACTTCCCCGCTCACTATTGTGGATTCTCTTCGAGCTCCCTAGTGTGCGTTTATCTCTTGCTTTTCTCCGGTTTTCGATCTCCTAGCCTACTTCTCGTTTTCGGTTTCGCCTTGTGATTTGGTTTGCTGCTTCCTCGTTTGTACTTCCGTGTTCTGACCTACTCGCCTGCTTCCTGGATTCGATTTCGCCTAGTGTTTTTGGATTGTTGCTTCCTCCTTGTCTCTCCATGTTCAGACCTACTCACCTGCCTCCTGGTTTTCGTTTTTGCCTAGCGTATCTGCTTAGTGTCTTTCTCTTGTCTTGAGTCCTGCATAGGATCCTATTGCCCTAGCAGCCTATCTTACAGTGATGATCTTGGTCAGATAGGGGGACATAGGAGGGTGGTAGCAGCAGTGCCCCATGTAGAACCAGCAGCGCTCCTGGCAGGCAAGCATCACTCCAAGGTATGTGGGAGTAGGATGGTGCTGCAATGCCTGCATTCATGTCGCTCCCCTGACATGCCCGGTGAAGCTAATGATCCGAATAGCAGACTAAATTCTATGGGAAGCTACAGGAAAGGAGTCTTAAAGAATTCTAGACCAAGTTCCAAAGCCAGAAAATATATTCTCCAGGTTAACATTGTAATTACAATAAATTCAGTCTAAATTTCCATACTATTTACACAGAAAGGGAAAAGTATTAATGCTTAGGTAAAATATTTTTTGTTAGTTCACAAGCCACAGAATTCTGGACATACTGAAGCTTATTTAAGAGTTTAGTAGCTAATCCACTACATAAAGCTATGGCATTAAAGTGGTTTAATTTTAATTAAAAATAAAGGCATTATCATTATTTCAGCATTAGAAAGAGAAAAGACCGTAACTGAGCAATGCTACACATATCCGTATTTTAATATCACAATAAGTGCTTGATGGACCTCATTTAACAGCATGAGTAGCTGGGACAACATCAAACTTGAAATAGCAAGGATAAATTGGACCAACTAGCCAAAATGGTTTAAATGGTTTGAACATTTAGTGAAAGATAGAAAAGGGGCTGTTGTGATCCCTCTCAGTGAAAGTGGAATAGAAGGAGAATCTTGAAGCTACTGTATATAAAAAAAATTGCAATTGAATTAGTTAGTTCAATCAAAATGAAGTTTATAAAAGGTTATAGTCTGTTTTCAAGTTAATATAAGGTGGTGGGACAACTTCTGTACATCCAGAAAGACAGCCTTATGGTTATTGATGCCTCTTTGCTGGATAGGCTCAGACCCTAAGGATTAGCCAAGTAAAGTTTGAAAGTAGTCTTGGGCTGGAGGATATCAATATCCTTGCAATAAAATCACCAACAGAATACTAAACAGTCTCTGTTTAAAACACAAATGTAAACTCTATAAACTTAAATGTAAAATAACACTGCTATATTTATATTGGAGTGTCTGGACTGGACAATGAAGGAGAAAGCTTTATAGAAGAAAAGCACAGAATACAGGGACAGCAGGTGCACAAATAATGTATTTATTAACACTGCATTAAAGAAAGGATGAACAAAAATAGCATACAGAAAAAAACAACAACTTCAGACAAGCTTATCTAGTCTTTAGTCCCCTGCAGCCCAAACTCATCCATTCTC